CTACTGACTATGGCTACTACGATGGAAATACTCGTCAGTGGTGATATTTAAAATGAACTTTTAACGTTTTTTTTTTTTTTTTTTTTACGAAATTGTGCCGAATAAGTCATTTGGGTCAAATTTCTTACATTTAATGTAGCCTATGTAAGAAGTGGAAAAGGAGGCAAATAAAAAAGATGGGGATGCCAAGGTTTTTAGTGAAACCTAGCAAAGTGTTAGAGACTGTTTGAACGCATTTGATTATATATGCGTTAGCTACTCTACGAACGCAAACCAATCAAATGAGTTCTCAACAACTTCTTAAAGTAGGTTTGAAAGTGCAGTAGCTTTTTTGTTCATGTATACACCTGTATTTAATCACCACCACTTGTAATCAAATTGACAATAACAATAGCCGATGTAAACATGGCCCTTCAGTGTAGGCTGATGGTTTTCGGTCATAGAAAGGCTAGTTCACAACACCACAACAAACACCACATTCAAAGGTCATTACTTAAGGTGTTGGTGATTGTCTGGACAGTGTGAATTAGCATTTAGATTAGCACTACCTTCAAATTGGTTGATCTGAACACCGAAGAGCTACGCGTTACATAACAGCAAGTGAAGACCTCAAGTTCATGTCATCAGCATCAGCCTGAGATGATGATTGCGGCTCTTCAGGATGAATCTCGGTCCTGCATTGAACACAAGCTCTCTAATACATCAAAGTAGTCTAGAACAGTGTCTCCCCCTCCTCTTTTCTCGCTCTCTTTGATCCTCTCAGTCATCAGTGGTGGCTTTCACTTCCTCCCATAATTCACTGGAGCAAGTCAAGGATGCTCATTATCACAATCGCTTTCCTCTTGTCTCGGAGGACGGGTGGCATGCGCAATTTATCACAACGATAGCATCTCAGGAGGGAAAAAGAAACGCCCCTCTTTGGGTTAACGGTGGTCCGGGTGACTTAAGACCACTTTCTGCCCGTGTTTTCCACCACATTTAGCATGATTTGAGCACTTTAACACTCGGCGTAATCTGATTAGGTTTGGTTATGGGATTCATATGAAGTGAGATGGAGATAAATGATTTGTTTGTTTGAAAACAGGATTGTAATTGAGTAAAGAAACTAAAAATAAGCCGGCGCTCAAACTGAATTATCTCAGCATGATAAGACAGTGCTCAGCTTGATTACGTGAGGTCATCTGATAGACCCTGCTGCTAATTGAATATAGCATACAGGCAGTGGCGGAGGGGGGCATTTTTTACATCCCTATTTGTCCAAATAACCATGAGAGAATGAAATCTGTAAAAGATGCATATGCAGAAGATAATGATATATCATGAAATAAGGGGGGTGAGAGGGGGAAGAACCGAGATCTGTACCTAGGAGCTGAGAATGTGCTGATGTAGTATTGTTTCACACTTTTTTACAAGCTCTTCAATTGGGTATAAAAGATGCTAGATGCCTCCTTAGGTATTTAGGTCTGCACTACTTGACAAAAGTCTTGTCATCGATCCCAGTTGTAAGAGCAAAAAATTATAACTTGACTTCTAGTTGATCCTTTGAAAAAGTGGCAGAAGGTAGATTTTTTTTTCGAATCATCTGTTGAGCTGCATCCCAATCATTACAAACACTGCAGAAGTCCTATTGGAATCCACACAGAGCCAAGATTTTCATAGAAATCAGTCAAGTCTGGTGAGGGAAAAATAATGGTTTGGGGTTACATTCAGTATGGGGGCAACACCAGCAGCCTGAGGGATCATTTGTGCTGCCTATTACATTACGAACCACAGGAGAGGGCAAATTCTTCAGCAGGATAACACTCCTCCTCATACTGAACAGCCTTCATATCAAAGTTCCTGAAAGCAAAGAAGGTCAAGGTGCTCCAGCATTGGTCAGCCCAGTCACCAGACATGAACATATCGAGCATGTCTAGAGTAAGATGAAGGAGGAGGCATTAAAGATGAATCCAAAGATTGCTTTCCTTGCCATTCCAGATGACTTTATTAATAAAGTTATTTGAGTCATTGCAGAGATGTATAGATGCAGTCCTCTAAGCTCATGGGAGTCATGCACAGTATTCATACTTTTTCCACTGCACCATGACTTTATATTCTATATACTGTACATTTTTCCTGTTAAGTAACAAGACTTTTGTCTAAGCAAAGTCAGATCTTACTGTCCTAATTGAATAATTAAAATCAAGACATGATTTTGACATGATCATATTTTATTTTGACAAAATATTTGTGATCTAGAGGCCTTTGCCTTTCATATAAGCCACTTCTGATAACAAATGATCAACTGGAAGTCAAGTTATTATTATTTGTTGTTCCTGAAACTTAGATAGTAACAAGACTTTTGTCAGATAGTGTATATTGATATGATAATATACGGTTAAGATCTGGGGTCGGATTCATCAAGTTTTCTTAGTAACCTTCTTAAAAGTGAACGTAGACCAGAATAGTTTTAAATTGATTTATAAATGATTAATGATTATGGCTCATGTGGGCGGCTCACAGCAAGGTCACTGGTTCGAGTCCCAGCTGGGCCAGTTGTCATTTCTGTGTGGAGTTTGCATGTTCTCCCTGTGTTAACATGGGTTTCCTCTGGGTGCTCCGGTTTCCCCCTCAGTCCAAAGACATGCGGTATAGGTGAACTGGGCAAACAAAATCGGCCATAGTGTATGTGTATAAGTGGGTGTTTCCCAGTACTGGGTTGCAGCTGGGAAGACATCCACTACATATAACATATTCTGGAATAGTTGGTGGTTCATTCCTCTGTGGAAACCTCTGAAATAAAGACTAAGCCGAAGGAAAATGAATGTATGAGTATGATTTAAAGTGGTTCAGTTAAGTGAATATTTATGTTAAATATGTTTACTTCGTTTACTATGTTTACTACTTTTCCGGAAAAATTCTGTAAGGTCCTCGTCTGTGTGAACAGCGCTTTTTTGAATTTACCGGTAAAGTTGTTCCGAAAATTTTCCATATATTTACCGGTATCACTGTGTGAAAGGAGCTAATGTCTCTGGGGCCCCCTAAATGTATGGGCCCTTAGAATCGTCCTAACTTTTTGTGCACTTCATTATTTTGTGAAGAAATAGTTTGCTCTCACAATCTTTTATCAAATACCATGACTTTCTCCTTTCTCTTCTGGTCAAAGGCCTTTTGGGCGGGGCTATTAGGGCATGTCTTCTGCCTCCTTCATTTTGTTAGCAAGGCCCATCATTCAGCAATCCAATCAGCTCCCAGTGGAGTTGATTTTTCCTCATTTTAGGACTGTTTTAATTGGATGTACCTCACAACATGGGAAAAAGGCCAATCTTAAAAAAGTACACATGGCTGTCTCTGTTCTAATGTGAAAATAGCATGGATAACAAATTGATTTAAACTGGTAACTCAGCTGTTTTAACTATTATTTAAATACAAAAAAGAATAAAAATCATTTGTGTTGAACCAGATATGTTTTAAAAGGACAATTTCACAAGATTTAGGGCCATTTCTTCTGTCACTTCATGGGGAATTCTTTTCCCCGAAGCAATGTATTCTAACTAAAAATTAATTTTGACTATCACTGTATTGTATACTTACAGGTTGGGGTGTTTTTTTTTCATGTTTTTGTTCGTTTGCATCATTTGCATTTATGCTTATTACAAAATTAATCCTGGAATTTGTGATCCTTGTAAATCTATTGTGATTAAATCTATTATCTCCAAATAAAACTTTTTTGACAAAAATCATTTGTGTCAAAATTAGACTACACTATTCACATCGTATTTTTGTGATTCACTGTGGAAAAACTGAATCAAAAGATCCTGCTGTTGTAAACCAGACAACACATTCCCAAGAATTAGGTCAACACCTTAAAATAATAAAAAGACCACTTTGCAATTTCAAGCAGCATAACAAGCTGTTTTGTACAGCTAAATGACATTAAAATTACAATTGGCTGCCGTATCTCTAACATGAAAATAGGGTGGATATCAGATTGACTCAAACTGGTAATTCTGGTAACTCAACTGGAAATTGGGCTACATTGTTCACACTCTGTGAAGTTTATTTATAAACTAATTTCAAGAGAATCACATGCTTATGATTTACCACAGCCGGTCTCGCATTAGCTAATCATGATCTTCCAATCTCATGATTCCTAAGTAACTTTAAATAACCACAATCTCAAGTCCACATTTATCTTAGTCTGGAAGAAACCCCCTTTCCTCCCCATTTCTCCTCCTTTATCATAGATCGGGCGGCACGGCGGCCCAGTGGTTAGCACTGTTAGCTCCACAGCAAGAACACTGCAGGCCCTGGTCCCCGCCAGGCCGGTGGGTGTTTCTGTGGGGAGTTTATATATTCCCCCCGTGTTTGCGTGGGTTTCCTCTGGATTCTCTGGTTTCCTCCCACCATCCAAAGATATCCATAGGGCATAACAGATTTAGCAATCAGGCACTCGTCTAGCTCCCTTCTTCCTCAAGTGTTTCCCTTAGCTACTGCAGCCGGGGAGTTTTAGAGATCTACCTGAGCTCAAGCTTTCCTCTCGCTCGGCGAACGGGAGGGAGCCCTGGGCTCGAGGATCCCTTGAGCTCAAGGCTCTCTCCCTGGTCAGCATGCCAAGTAAGCTTTTGATGGATCATCAGCTAAGTGTGAACTCTTGAAATGCTTGTATTTCACTTTAAAGAACTGCATTAAAAATGTTATGGGTTAGAAAACGCATTACAATATACCAGTTTGTTCAGCACAGCTTTTCTGTATGTACCACATATGAATTACCTGACATTTTGTCTCTATAGCATTTCTGAAGTACCACTTCCAGTTCTCCAGATATAGTCAATCATGTCAGAAGAAATGGAGGAGCATTTCCTGGTCTTGTCTGTGGAAACTGGAGAATCTGACTGCACTAGAATGGCTGTAACATAAACAGGAAAACATTTAAGAAGAGCAACACCTAGCTTTTCTTTATATATTCAGAAAAGAACAAATATGATCATATTAAAATAACTTACCAAGCCGACACCAAAGTCTATACACAAAATTTAATTTACAGTACAGTGCATCTTCCATCTGAGAGGCCATCGCCCAGAGATATCATACAGTTTATGGAGATTTTCTTGTTTTATGGCTTAATTTGTAATTTGAGGATCGTGAAATACCACCATATCGTAGCCTAATGGATCAACCTTGAATTCTTTCATTGTCGAGATTCAACATTTCAACAAAAACAATTATTTACTGTATATCAGTAGTGGCTCGGGTTAAGAGAATCTCTAGATAAAGAGTCTGAAATCTGTAAATATTATAGTGAATAAGATTTTCCTCTTATGCTAAAGCGCAATGCATACAGGTCTAAAGTGCAAAACAGCGCAACAGCCACATTAGTCCTCATCCTTCTCTTTTCCGACACAAAAAGCTCACTCAGATAAATATTTTCAGGACAAAAAAAAGAACAATAATTTAGCAATAATGTAAACCACTGCATACAGAAGTCATCAAAGCTTCTAGAGTAAAGAGGACTCTCTCCTCTGTCAAACACACGTTCGTCGTGTGAGTAAAAACAGTCCAAACATGTTTTACATCCAGCACTGAGGCATACAAGCCCGAAAAACACGTAATAACACTGATGATCGATCAGCATAGCAAAACAAACCAGCACTCCCGCTCTGTGAGAATGCGCAAACACAAAAATCACCACACGTCTCCACACGCTGCTTCACAGTTGCAAAAAAGGCTAAAATTCAATGATGGGTTAGCCAAAAATGAAAATTCTGTCATTTAATCACCATCATGATGCTCCAAATACATAAGAAAGATGTTTTTGAATCAAACTTGAGAGATTTCCATGAGTTCACTAAAATCAAACACTTCAAAATCCATATGAATATGACATAGATGCTTTTATATAATGAAAAATAATAATACTTTTGGATTAACAAGCTTAAATTGCACAAAAACAAACGTCTAATGTGCCATGTGATGCATGAGAATAAATCTCATTGGTTCTACATCAAGCAAGCATGACTGAGCTTCTGTGAACAAATCTGAATGTAAACATTGCTCATTGGTCAATATTTATACATGAAAAAGAGCCTAAACAAAATTCTCTCTTCAAAACAAGTTTTCTGAAGCATCAGGAATTCAGGACTTTACAATAGAGGGTCAGAAATCTCTTAGATTTTATTACAAAAGTCTTCATTTCTGTTCATAAAGTGAACAACTTATGTTTGGAACAACATTAATGTAAGTCAGTGGTGTCCAAACTCGGTCCTGGAGAGCCGGTGTCCAGCATATTTTAGTTCCAACCCTAATTAAACACACCTGAACCACCTAATCAAGCTCTTTCTAGGTATACTAGACTTCCAGGCAGGTGTGTTGGTGCAAGTTAGAGCTAAACTATGCAGGACTCCAGCCCTCCAGGACAGAGTTTGGACACCCCTGATGTAAGTAAATGAAAGAGTTTTTCATTTTAGCAAATCCAACCCTTTAAACCCTATTTAGTGTACAGTTATTTGGCAAACAAAAGTAGGTTTGAGTGCACACGTGCATGGCATTTGCAAGTATACATTCATGTAAGATACCAGCTAGCTTGATACAAACGCCCAGCAGCCTAACGTCGATTGCTCTGAGGCTCAAATCTCTCAGGCGCACAGTACTTTCTTTGTTTTGTTGTTGTTTTTTCCCCCCACCGAGTCGGAAGGTATCATGTACAGTACAGTAGTTTAAAAGCCTTTGGCATAAACCGGGGCAGAAAGCTAGCTGCCGAGTGCTCACCTATAAACCGACCCCACTTTCTGTCGCTAACGCCAAGAGAAACCGCGCGACCATTCCAGGCACAGAGCTTGTAATGGTGTACTATAGAGTTTGAGGAACATTCAGAAACATGAATATGACACAAAATTGAATAAACACCTTAATTCCTTAAATAATCTCCCTTTGACCTGGTGGAAGAACTGACGCCTGCAGTGCATTCTGGGTACTGCAGAGAATACAAATGAGGCTTTTGCGACTGAGAATTGTATTGCAAGTGTGAGAAGGAAGTACAACTGCAGGCTTGTATGAGTTTGTTATTTTGTGCTTTGTTTTTTTTTGCGGGTCAGTATTCAGTGTCAGAGGCGTCCGCCGGGTCAGTGTTGCGTGACAGCATGTAGTTGTCCATGTCAATGGAGGGACAGTTGTGTATGGAGTAGCGCAGGCGTTCGGCTAGAATGGCCTGGCTTGTGTAGGGAGGAAGGCGGAGCTGGAAGAAGCACGTCTGAGCTGTAGGAAGACCGTTCACAGGCTGTTGACCGAACATCAAGAGAGTGCAGTATCAATATTTAGTACAGTATACAGTGGTACAGCATGACTGGCTCACTATCATCTAGGCTCCTTTATTAGCCAGGTTATTAAATTAGATAACTAGAAGATAAACAAGCCTGGTCTAGGGGGTCAAGGAGGTAACATAAATAAATCAAAAGCACAACCCCTTGAAATTGGGTCCATTTATTAATCACTTTATTCTTTTCCTTTGTTTTACAAAAAATAAAAATAAACCGAAGTCTAACCTTAGCATGGACCCACAATAAATAATTAACAAAAATGACCACTAACTTATCCCAAATTGAAATAGACAATTTTGTAACTTTTTTTAATGTTCCTTTTAGTTACTAAGGGTGCTTTCACACCTACACTTTTGTTTCTGAACGTATCTCGTTTGCCCAGTTAGAGCGGTTCATTTGGCATATGTGAACAAGGCAATCGCGCTCTGTTCCAGACCAAAGTAATCGCTTCGAGATCGCTTGAATGAGGTGGTCTCGGCTCGATTGAAACGAACCCTGGAGCGGTTCGATTGCAGTGAGAAAGTGATCTGATCCGAGCGCTGTTATATCACAGTGTTTTATGGATATGTAATAGGCATACGGCTATATGAAGAGAGAATTATGAGTAGGGCGGGAAGTTTCGCGAGTCTCCGGATGCCCGCAAATGAGTGATGATCTCCCGGTAATTACGCGTCTCCCTCCCGGTCCTCAAATAGGCATCGTGGCGCACCCTTCTCACCCCTCCCCACCGCGTCTCTCCTCAGACACGTCGCGCGCGCACCCTGTCAATCACCACCAAACCACCACCTCTCCTGACAGCTGAGCGGGACGCTGCAAAATAAACCCTGACACTCTGACCAATGTAGGGAGAGTTTACTCGCACGTGACTTGTTTTAGCTCTTTTGGTCTGATTAGAAACTTTGCAATGTAAAAGCGAACCGCTCCAAGAGCAAATAGCAACAATGTAACAATTGTAATCTCTGTTTCAGAAAAACTGAATCGATTCACAGGTGTGAAAGCACCCTAAGGGTACTTTCACACCTGTGAATCTATTCATTGGTTCCGAAACAGGGATAAAAATTGTTACATTGTTGCTCTTTGTTCTTGGTGCGGTTTTGCTTTTACACGGCAAAGTTTCTAAACGGACCAAAATAGCTAAAACAAGTCATGAGCGAGTAAACTCTCCTCATATTGGTAGACAATATATAAAAACTGGAGGCTGGCTTATGTGAAGACCGTTGGGGGGGATGGTTGTTGACAGGGTGCGAGCGACATGTCTGAAGAGCGAGGAGGGATGCAGTGGGGAGGGGTGAAGCCTGGATTAAGGGTGCGTGACGTATTTGAGGGCCGGGAGGGAGACACACGATTTCCGAGAGATTATCACTCATTTGCGGGCATCCAGAAGTCTCTGTGCATTTGCTGGAGAATCCCAGAACTTCAGGGATACTTGAGATGCCTAGAATGACCTCCCGCCCTACTCATAATTCTATCTTCGTCTTCATATAGCCGTATGCCTATTACATATCTATAAAACACTGTGATATACCCGGGCTCGGATTGTATCGCTTTCTCTCTACAATTGATCTGCCTGAGTTCGTTTCAATCGAGCCGATACCACCTCATTCAGGCGATCTCGGACAGATTGATTTGGCTCGCATCTGAGCGTGATTGCAGGTTTCACATACTGTATGCCAAACAAACCGCGCTCACTGGGCAAACGAGACAGGTTCCGAAACAAAAGTCTAGGTGTGAAAGCACCCTAAGGCCCAATCCCAATTCCACCCCTTAGCCCTTCCCCTTACCCCAACCCTTCGTTTTGCGCATTCACGTGAAGGGGGTAGAGGTGTCTCAATTCTCTTTAGCTTGAATGCATAGGGCTCGGGGGAAGGGCTACATACCCCTCGAAAGAGAGATTTTTCAGGACCACACTTGAAACCAAGGGGTAAGAAAATTTACCACATTACACCAGCTACAATAGCAGCATAGCTGCACCCGGAAGAGATCCACAAATTTATACATTCATTACAGCTTTCGTGTTTTACCGTCATGCTTTTTTAAAAAAACTGCTAAATTTCGCAGAAAAATAAAATTGGGATTGGGCCAAAATCTACTAGCAAGATTGATATAAACAAACAACCTTCCTATAAATATGAATAATATATAAATGAGTAATATCACACGAGTAGCAGTGTGATGGGGCTGTATATCGGCAATAGTTGGAGGCATGTGTGATGATATACAATGATGATACACAGCCACATCACACTGCTACGAGTTTGATATTGGGATTAAATTACTGTACATTTTAATATATAATATAAATATTAATATTTCACTATAACTGGTTTTCATTTATTTTTGATCATGTAAACTTGGTCTGCAAGACATTTCTTTCAGAAAAAAATAGGCAAATAAATATTCTAATTGCTCTAAATAATGATCAAATGATTGATATATTCTATTGTTATCTGTTATTCATTATTATAAAAATAATCTACAATTCCCAGTGGCCTTACCCGATCAACTTTAATGATCTGAAACTTCTGAGTTATGTCTGCTGGATTGGAAGGCAGTCTGGAGCGTCCGGAGACGAAGCGCAGGAACAGGACTCTCTCCTCATTGGTGAATTCCTCCAGGCTCTGCCACAGCCAGCCAATGAGCTGGTGACTGTCGGTGATGTCCCGGTATCGGACCACCTTCTTCAGCATCTCCACCGAGACCTCAGGCAGGCCACAAACCAGCTGTTCCAGCTGTCGAGCCGTGAGGAGGGACAGCAGAGGAACTGGGATGATGGAGGACATGCCCTCCCGCACTGCTGAAACCTACAGCAACACACACACACATACACTGACTTACTGACGCTATTATTATATACAGCACAGCCACACAAACAGCATCCGATTAAGGTGAGATTTTTTTCAAGCACCAGAGATTTGGGGATTTTTGCTTTTTCATACATACAGTGGGTACGGAAAGTATTCAGAGCCCTTCAAATTGTTTACTCTTTGTTATATTGCAGCCATTTGCTAAAATCATTTAAGTTTATTTTCTCCTCATTAACGTACACACAACACCCCATATTAACAGGACAACACAGATTTTTTACATTTTTGCAGATTTAAAAAAAAAAAAAGCTGAAATATCACATGGTCCTAAGTAGACCCACGTGGAATCTGTGCGCACAGAAATCCGCATATTTTCCACAGAATTCCGCAGATTACTAAAGATTTTTAGCCCATTAATAATTCTGTTTATTTATTTGAGTAAATGTGTAAATCTGAATTTATTCAGTTTTTATTTAGTAATTTATAACTTTTTATTTAATATATTAAGGTTTTAGTTATGATACTCCGTTGGATACTCCCAAAATAATTCCGCAGAAATCCACAGATTTTTACCAAAATTCTCCGCAGAAATAGCAAAAAAACGTCTGCAGATTCCGTCTGGCCCTACTCATAAGTATTCAGACTATTGTCTGTGACGCTCATATATTTAACTGAGATGCTGTCCATTTCTTATGATCATCCTTGAGATGGTTCTACACCTTCATTTGAGTCCACCTGTGCTTGATTATACTGATTGGACTTGATTAGGAAAGCTACAGACACCTGTCTATATAAGACCTACAGCTCATAATGCATGTCTAAGCAAATGAGAATCATGAGGTCAAAGGAACTGCCTGAGGAGCTCAGAGACAGAATTTCGGCAAGGCACAGATCTGGCCAAGGTTACAACAAATTTCTGCTGCACTTAAGGTCCCTAAGAGAGAATATATAGACATTTCCAATTATTGTTGCAACCAATAAACTGGTGATATCTATTAGTAGTTTTTAAAATGTATTTATTTCATTTGTTTTGCATCAAGTTGATTTCATATAACTCGCGTTGTGTTGAATTTGTGGTATTAGTACACTAACATCTGCAATATGCTAGCATAACAGCACTGTTGGCCGAAGTTAGCAATACGATTATTTAATATTCCATTAATTTTGTTTAATCTTTTGTTTTTCTTTTAGTTCACATTTGTTCATTTTGAGACCAGATAATACACTCCAAATGTTTAGTTTTAGCATCATTTTAAGAAATCTGACATAAGTAATTCAATGTTTTACATGTACTGTGTATACACTGTTTTGCCTAATAAAACCAAGACCAAAAATGTAAAGAAAAATTAATGTTTCACAAATTTTTCCCTTCAAAATTAATTCTTCAAATTGTTTTCCCCCTCCTTTTTTTAAATCTACAGGGTGGGCCATTTATATGGATACACCTTAATAAATGTATTGGGAATTTCACAAGAAAAACAATGGTGTGCTTGGTTTTAAACGTAACTTTATACTTTCATGATTTATTTACAAGCCCCCTCACATATACTAATGTGCCACATACACATTAATATCACCATCCATTCCCATTTTATTAAGGTGTATCGATATAAATGGCCCACCCTGTATAGTTCACTCGATACTTCACTTTTTTTTTTAGTTACCAATCTGTGACATTATTGTGTTTTTCCATAAAAAAAGAATTGGCAGTATCTAAGCACATTAAGACAACACTTTAATTTTCAAGTAAACGATACCTGTCTGTCCATCTCATGCAGTCTGTAATGCAGAGCTCTCTCCACATAATCATTCCTGTTGGAGAAAGTGAGAGGCAGGTTGTGCCCACCAGGAATCACTGGAACCAGTGTACCGTCAGCGCTGTGAGCCACAAACGAGTCCAGAGGGATCATCTACAAAATACAGGAAAAAAAAAAAAAAAAACACATTAGCAGCATTTGCAGTGTCGGGCCTAAAGCGAGTGTGCTAGTGCGTATCAGTTTCCACTGTCACTTCCAGGGCTTAATCAGACTTCCTTCCCAATGTTTTCATATCAGCCAACATCAACAATTAAAACAATTTCAGACACCTGCGATTGCTGAAATAACCCTGATTGCAATCTGATGAGGATTCTGATCCCAAAATATAACGATTTGTAATGCTAAAGCCTACTTATGCTAACAAATGCCATAATAAATACACAATACGTTTATGAAAACTCCAGAGACTGCTTTAAGATAAATCTTCAATCAATCATACATGTGTGGTGTCACTTCTCAGTGTCTTTGTTGATATCTGACGTCCACATCTGCATGATCACGAGTTATCGGTTAACGTATATGGTTTTATATGCATATAACTCCAGTTTTCTCAGCACGAGCTCCCTCTGTTGCTTTAACTCAGTGGTTCCCAACCTGGGGTCCGCGCCCCCCTAAGGGGGGCGCCAGAGTTCACAGGGGGGGCGCGGGAGAGGATAAGTATTGAGGTAGAAAAAGGCATAAAAATGGTCCACTATTATAAAGGGCTTTGCAATTAATCGAAAATCCGATTTAGATTTCGGTTTCAAACGATTATAAAAAGCATTAATCGAGATAAATGATTATTGCATCATATTTCGCCACAGTTGTACACGTGTTGCTCTTAAAAGCGCGAAAGAGCTTATGTGTGTGTGCAGCACGATCACGCAGTCAGAAGCATATGCGGCCGGTCAGCATTCACTCTCATTCACACACTGAGACGAGCAGAGGAGCGCAGACATCTAAAGTCATCTTAACGTGAACGCTTTAATGGTCAAATAGGTGTCAAAACGCGGTGTTTAGTGATTATTTACATTAACCCTCATTTGTGTAATAAACAAACGAGTTGAGGATCAAAAGACGTGAAAGAGAAACCATTAAAGATACAGCGCGCTATTATCCTTCTGCCGCCTGTTTTTATTATTATTAAACAAACATAACGAGAAAACCTTTGCTGCTCTTGACTGAAGGACTGCTGTAGCTAAAGTGTTTTTCTTACAGTGAAGATGCTTAAAGCACAGTTTGTTTCATATTTTTTTTCTATTGTATTTATTTCTCTTTCCATTGCAGGGTGGAAAATAACTGTATGTATACAGTTGAAGTCAGAATTATTAGCCCTCTTGAATATAAGCAAACCTTTTCCTGCCCAATTTCTGTTTCATGGAAAGAATATTTTATTAACTTATTTCTGAACATAATAGTTTTGATATCTCATTTCTAATTACTGATTTCTTTTTGTCTTTGCTATAATGACAGCACATAATATTTTACTAGATATTTTTCAAAATACAAGCATTCAGATTAAAGTGCAGTTCAAAGGCTTAATTAGAGTAATAAGGCAAGTCATTATAACGGTAGTTTATTCTGCAGACAATCAAAAATATATATTGCTTAAGGGGGCTAATAATATTGACCTTAAATTGGTTTCAAAATATTTAAACCTGTCTTTATTCTAGCTAAAATAAAACAAATAGAAGAAAAAATATTATAGGAAATACTGTTAAAATTCCTTGCTCTGTTAAACATAATTTGGGAAATATTTATAAAAAAAAAAATCTCAGGAGCGCTAATAATTTTGACTTTAACTGGCAATGGTTTTGAATAATCGTGATTACAATTATGACCAAAATAATCGTGATTATGATTTTTCCCAAAATCGAGCAGCCCAAAAAATAATCTAAACACATGCTTAAAATTCCAACATAATAGTGAAAATAATTAAAATAAATAACTTTAAATAATTATTTAAATTTTGCTCACTCTGGCAATCTGCTTGTCAATGTGTCATAAAGGCAAAATCAAAACAAAAATGGCAGACAAACGTAAATGCTGTGATTCTTCAGAGGCGAAGATTAGACAGTATGACAAAGCCTACCTAAATTTTGGTTTTATTGAAGGCCAAGACAAGTTAAAACTGATTAATTAATATTTTCTATACATATTACTATATATTAATATTACACAAACACACACACACACACACACACACACTCACATATATATATATATATATATATATATATATATACACACAGTACATATGTGTGTGCGTGCGTGCGTGTGTATTTATATGGTGGGGGGGCTCCAATGTTTGTATATGTTTATGGGGGGGGCCCCAAAGAAAAAGGTTGGGAACCACTGCTTTAACTGAAAGAATAACAGTAGTATAACAGTATACAATATAGTGAGATGGGAGAAACTGCTCAGATCACGCCATTTAGTAGAAATGCATATTCCTTCCAAATGGGATTCAAACATTAAAATTCATTATTATATTTGGGTTTAAGGACCTTGTGTAATAATGTTATCAAAAATAAAGGCATGCAGGAAAGAAGCAAATAAAAAGTTGGCTACTAGTTTTAGTTTTTGGTGTAAAATAATGATGATGTTTGTTTTAGTTACAGTACTGGAATAATTTAAAAGATTAATTCGCTTTCAGAAGGAACATTTCCTGATAATTTACACACCCTCTTATCATCCAGGATGTTAATTTCTATAATTTTCTTGGTCAAAAACAAATTAAACGTGTTGTATGTAAATTTTTTATACTTCTAAAGTATAAAAATACCATAAAATGTTTGTTTTGATGTAAAAACATGCAAAGTGAACATACTTTGTATCTGAAAAACAATGCTAATGTCAGTTATTCTTAGTCATGATAATAAATTTTTGTTGTACAACATATTGCACAACAATTTTTTGCGATAAATAATATTATTGTCCTTTTAAAACCAATTCATGGCACACATTGTGTAATGCAAGTATAAACATAATAGCATCATAATGGAAGTACACTTTTTCAAAGAAAGATAATGGGCTCCATTTTAACAATCTAGGCGCAAAGTCTAAAGTGCATGGGACAAAAGCATTAAGGGCTTGTCCGAATCCACTTTTGCTTTTTTAAGGATGAAAAATACGGTTTGCACCGTGGCGCATGGTTTAACAGGCTTGAGCTTATTCTCTTAATGAGTTATGGCTGTGTTTTAACATGTCTCATCTCATATCCCCTTTAAGAGTCAGTTGCTTCGAGCCATGGCGCATTTGCTATTTACACGGCGGACTTTGTAAGTGGAAAACCTGAATGCACTTTTGAGAAAAACTTAGGACTTCCAAACGTCCAACTTACGCCTGTTTCACACCGCAAGTGTCAGCGGCGCGTGAGCACCGCGTATGTCGAGCAGTAGCAGCACGCAGGCGTTTGCCTTTCACACCAGCTGCGTCTGCAGCGCGCAGCTCTTCGGCAGCTGCTGCAGAGATCAACCTATCTCTGTCTATTCTATTTAGTTACCCATGTCTCTCTATACACAAATACACTTTTTAAACTTTTCATCTGCACCAAAGCCCCCCCTATGCTGTTTCTTTAACCTGCAAATGTTTATTTTACAAATTTTATAGATCAAATAGTACTGTATGCTTCCCAAGCTAACTTATATGAGAAGTGTCTACAGTCAGAGGACAATCGCCTGTGATATCGTGTCATTTGTTTTTTGATTATCAGGTTGCTGTAGACCTAGTTATAATCATATTTATACAATATAGTTATAATGATATTTATACATGATCAAACTAGTGTTGCTTTCTCCACTTCAGTGATGTCCAGCGGCAGAATAACAGTTTGTTAATTCATGCTCGTGCAGATGATGAGACGGACAAAAGTAACCAATGCATGCCATTCTTTTACTTATTTTCGTGTTGTCAGGTTCACAGTGCAAACAGCTCCCGGTAGGAATAGCTCGAGTGAACATAAAACAAAGCCGATTAAAACTTTCTTGCTCTGCTCAGCTGCACAGAACACAGCGAGCTCACATAATCCAGCATGCGTGTCGAACTACACTACCCACAATACACTTCACTATGGACTACAAATCCCGTAAATATTCTATTTCCCCTCTCCAACAACACTAGTGTGCAACTTAAGCAAAACTGATAATAAAATTGTTTTACATTTGGTTTTCGGGCCTAAATAAATGTTTGTTGCCGTTTTTAATCGATTTAAGTTCGTTTGAATGACTATATATAAACCATTTGACATTATTAACGCATTTATTGGGTAAAATTGTTACTTTTTACTGTCATTCAATGTGTTTTGGTCATTATCAATGCATTGTCACTTTAATTGAGCATGAGCAGCGCGTCAAAAATAGACCCAGCACCGAAACTATCGCTGCACTGCTGCTTTGGCGACGCTCACGCCTCGCTCTGACGCGCTGCTGCTGCGTGTGGTATGAAAGCTCTAATCTGTTAACATGGACGCCGAAAACACACACGCTCTGCTCACGCGCCGCTGACGCTTGCGGTGTAAAACAGGCGTTACAGTATCAGTGCAGCTTTATAGATGACAAAGGGGTGAGTAAATTGCCCCCTAAAAAATATTTCTGAATAGTGAAATAATCCTTTAATAAATGACTCTTTTTATCATAAACTGCTGTTCATATGTCAACACTGGAGTCTACGTCATTAGAGCAAACAGTTGCATAAGGTATATAATGTTTGTTTTACTACATGTTAGTTGTCATTCATTTTCACCACTGATAAATGATGCTGCTCTAAAGAGGGTCCCACTGGCTGACAGTGGAAACAAGGCTATATAGTTTCTTGTGTGAATCTAGCCTCTTTAGATTGTCTGGCTCACCACTGTGAAGTTTTCTTCATTGATCACGCTGCTGTCCAGGTGTAAGATGCCCTGAAGAGAGCGGTACGTGAGCAGATCCACCTCCTCCAGGTCAGCGGCTCCCAGAGGAATACAGCACATCTGCTTCCAGACCCACGGCGCCAGGTGCAGGTCCAAGGGCTTTTTGGTTCGGATGGCCACTGCCATTAGGATCCCCAAGAAGCGGAACTGCACTATGTGATCATCCGAGAAGGCCCCTGGGTTCAGCAAGAATCTGGCCAGACAATGGAGGTTAGTGGAAAAACAATCAAAGCTGCAGTAATGGTGTATTTAATGGAAGTAAAAACCCAGGACTTCCGGTTAGGTGAGCTATGGAGTAGGACGTGTTCGCTAAGTGGTCCTGTAGAATTTGCGATTTTTGAATTAATGCACATTTTTACTTAATACAAAGTGTCTGCAGATAATTGTGCCTAATGGAGTTTATTTTAAGCTAATGATGTGCAACAAAGATGAAAACAAAAGGCAATAAAGGGGCAGCCATTGCAACAGGGGCCTGCAACAGCTAACGCAACCTCGGATGAAAGTGATACAGCCAGAGGGGGTCAATGGACTGAGCTTGATATGGCTTCAGGTGACATTCAGAGTCTTAAAACTGAAATAATCTCATCACTACGACAGGATCTGGCAGAAATATTTCGCTCTAAACTACGGTCTGTGCTAGGCAATGACTTATCAACCATCAAAAGTGAACTTCAAGCCGTGAAGGTGGAATTCTCTAACACAATGCAGGGCTCGAAATTGCGACCAAATTTGTCGCATCCGCGCCCGAAATTTATTCTATGCGACCTCATAATATATTTGGGAGCATTTGTGCGACTGCATAATGGTTTTAGTGAGACCTGTTTTGATTTTTATCTAAAAACGTGCTGAATCAGTCTGCCCTGGTGCTATATTGGTTAATATTAGCTGTCAATCACTCAAGACTTTCCGAATCGAACTGAGGCGTTCACTTTAGGCCTATATAAACTATAAAAAATTTTATGCAAGTTAATGCAATACTATATGTAAAAACTAAATTGTTATATACTTTAGTAGCCTATAGCCTATAAAAATAGTCACAAACTGTGGTCATACCTAAAAAGCACGTTCTTACTCCTTTAGAGCGGCTGCAGTACAAGGCACACCGGTAATGCTCATATTAAAGTGTCACCTGCTGTACATGTAGCTTGTTTATAGCCTATAAACATAAATATCCTTGTTACATGTACTTACTATATTATTATCAATTAATATTGCATAATTACATGCAACAAACCCTAGAAATGAAAATTTCACAGGGTCTTTAAATGATTAGGTAAACAATGTATCAAGGGCACCTTAAAATAAAGTGAAACCCTGAATATGTCATCTATTACATTCTGCTTATGCAATAGCATTGACAACATACCTGTCGGTGTTACTACCAACATCTGCGGTGCTATTAGGAGTGTGAATAAGAAGGTCGACCACACCAGACTGCAACTCCTGAAAAAAAAAGTTTTGAATGTGTGAATGAAAATCCACCCTCTTTAATGCAGTCAACAGAAGAAGGAGCGGGATTTACCTGGCACATCTCAGTGATGGTGTCATCAAACACACCACCCGCATCATCGGCCCCTTCTCCGACCAGCTTCACCTTCCATGCTCTAGAGGGCAGACGCAGCTCTGTGGGGTTCAGGTTCACCACCTGCTTGGCGATCTGCACGAATATGGGCTTGCTAGAGCGCCCCCTGTGGATTGGAGGAGGTTAGGTTAGTGTTTTAGAAGTGATCAGTTAAAATTTTTTAAATCTTATTTTTATAAAATAAATAAATTAATTAATAAATAAAATCTGTAGATTTAACTGGATGTTTACTGTAAAAACACTGTCAAAAATAAATGCATTTTCAACACTTCCCCTATTCCTCTAAACCAGTTTTTCTCAACCTTTTCGATACTGATTTCCTTTACAATCCATAAAAATGTTCCAAGGCTCCATAAATACCCCCCCCCCCCCCATCCCCCGCTATTTATTGAATAAACATTAGGGATAATTGTTGACTTTGAGATTGACTGTTGACTTTTCCCGGTCTAGAAATTTCACTTTAAATGTTTTACATCATGAAGTATTTCCAAGTATGAATTAAAATAAGAAATAGACAAAACATTTTAAATTCCTTAATGTATTTTATTAAATGTATTTTGGTTATTATTAAGATTATGATTTTATTCATCATCATTATTATTATTATTATTATTATTATTATTATTATTATTATTATTATATATTAATATCATTGACTTTAAAAATATACATTGACTTAATCATTAAATTGACTATAATTTACTATTTTTTTATTATTAATAACAATAATAATCATTATAATTTTAACAATTTTAAATATTTTATAATTAATTACACTAATATGAACATTATCACATTATTTCAATTATTAATATTTGTATTGTTGTAATATTATTATACAATACATCAAATTACAAAATATTACTATTGAAATATTTAAAAATAACTACATAAAAAGTATCACTTTAAATAAACTAAGTTACAGCAATTTTCATTTAACAAATCATTATTTTTTTAATTAGCCGTGCAGTGGGATTAAAGGCTAATTTCTTGTACCTGGTGGAGATGCGTTTGACTGTAATCTGAGGGCCATAGGTCTTTCCCTGGGTCATGGTTCTGCCGATAGTGCGAACGAGAGGGAGGGTGTTGACTTTCGGGGACAGCAGGCCTCTGAGTTGACCCTGTACGATGGCGGCCGTTCCTGAGCTGTAGCGAGAAGTACTGACCTGGAAAGCAGCCAGAGAATGACACTGTCAGACAAAAACGGCCCTAATATCGACCGACACAAAACCATTAGTCCAAAGGTAAAAACGAGAACACTTTCACACTGAACACAAATTCAGCTGAGCGGGGAAAACGATAGAAGGATTTTGGCAGGAAGTCAGTGCATAGTTTTTGTTTTTTTCGCTGAAACGTCAGCAGTGTACAGTGGCCTCCATTCATTTTGGCACCTTTGGTGAATATGAGCAAAGAAGGCTGTGGGGGGGGGGGGGGTTTATTATTGTTTATCTTTATGATCATGTGCTCTGAATATTAACACAACAAACTGAAGATGCAAGAGTTTGTTTTTAGATGAAAGCAGAGGCTTTTTTTTTTTCTGAAACACTTTCAACAATTCAGCTGTGATTCTCTTGAGAGACATGCGTCCTCCATACCTGTCAACTCTCCTATTTTTCCCGGGATTCTCTCGTATTTCACAGTTCTATCACGCTGTCATCCGGTAAAGGTATTAACCCATATTTCTCCAGTATTTTCAGTGTTTCTCTGAAGGGTGGCAAGGAAGATTAAAGAACCGATATGCAACCGATATGATATCCCTATATGCAACCCATACCGCCAAACCACCAGGGGTCGCCCCTTGCTCTTAAATTTGAGTCTGTTCAGTGCTTTCGCTTTGTTTAGGCACAAAAACACTTAAAACGGCGAGATTCCCCTTCCTTTTTATAACAGGTGCCGTCACCTCTCATATGCAATCCTCAAATAGTCATGCTACATGACTGTCAGCTGACACGCTCCATAGTGATAAATAGACACTGTTTTGCAAACAAACACGATTTGAAGCGGAGCGAAAGTCTGGCTTCTGAACAGACATACACACATAATTATTAACAATAATATCGAAAGATGTTGATCTTGGTGGGGTTTTTTTTCAAACACAACTAATTTCGTCTTAAATAAGCATAAAAAGTTAGGAAAGCAGTCGAATGCCTTCATTAAAAGGTTAAATGTGTGCATTTTTAAAGTGACACTTCAGATTCATTCGTTGCTCTTTAATCAGAATGTGTAAGTTATACAGTGAAGAATCACACCCTTATTATAGTGGGCAAATCCCTTATTTTCACATCCTAATATTGACAGGTATGACGTCCTCTTCCAGATTTACAGCAAGGAAAATAAGTTTTGGACACATGTTTTTTCCTGGTAATAATATTCTTAAAGGAAATGTTGACGTGCAATTGAACCAGACTTTGGTAAAAACTCAAACAATACAAAAAATAATAATAAAGTTTACTTTATATAAAAGGCTTTTTGGTGAGGGCAGCCTAAAGATGCCTCTCATTTGAAGAATGAAGTCAAATGCATTTCTCATGTATGAGTTTTTCTCAGACTTTAACGAAGTGTAAATATCTTGATTCTTATATCTTGGTTCTGTGGGTCCCGTCTGTCAAATCTGATCTTTAATTTGTATTTTCTATTGGATTCAAGTCAGGTGATTGGCTGGGCCATTCTACAGCTTGATTTCCTTTCTCTGAAAGCATTTGAGTTTTCTTGGCTGTGTTTTGGATCATTGTCTTGTTGAAATGTCTACCCTGGTTACATCTTTATCATCCTGGTAATGTAGATGTTGGATTGAAGCAACTAATATTAATTTACACTGGCGAAGGGCAGCGGTTTGCTGAAGAAATACTGGGAGATTTCAGCTGCTTTCTGGACTTTCACTGCCTTTTCACACCTTCTGTTCTTCATGTGTTCAATACATTTTTCCTGCGTAATTTCATTTTATTACACATATATAACTTTATTTGTAAATTAATTAGATTTGTTTTCTTTGCATTTATGGATTTCTTTAGTTGTTGTTACCAACATCCGGGAACAATTTCAAGTCAAAAGCACCTTAAGAAATATGTTTTCTGAGACAAATGGTCCTTATTTTGTCCGCTGTGTAACGATTAAGTTCATAGCACCCAGAGGCTGACATAAAAAGTTAATTCCACTTCACATTGTCAATCACATTTACTCACTGCATCTGAAACTCCTCCATCATATCATTTCCTCAATTCCTTTTTTCCTAGTTACTTTCCTTGCATTTGTAACATGCTTTTTCTGTATCATTTTTTTTAATTTGCATCAGACTCACACAGACCTTGCAGAGACCAGTGTGCAAGGTTTTTTGCGGTTGAACATTTTAATGAAATTGTTTGTCACAAAAAAAAGTAAATTCGACCTCAAACACATTTAAACACCGCCTTCAAAAATGTCGCCCATCATTAAAAAAAATATTAGATAGTTTTTGCCTTCGTTTTTTTGCATCTGTCGCAATTTTATTCCACACCAGATTCATTAATACACATTGTGTCTCGGTATGCAAGGTTTTTATGTGTTACAAATGTTAAGAATAACAAATACAAACCAAAAAACTGCATATGAAATAGCATAAAATTTCAGACTCTATGTGAAAAGACCTTTGGGGTTGACTGGAATTTATTAACTGTTGCTCTGATGTTGAAAATCGACATTGTTCAGTGTTTTTTGCCATTTTCTAATAGCCACTTCCCATTCTGTGAAGTTCAACAACCTTTTACTGCAAATCACAGCTCTGTTGCATGGTCCTTCCCATCGTGATGAATGACTGAATGACTTTGGTCTTTGTGTTTCCTCATATTTATAGCCCTGAAACTGAAGCTGATGGTTCAACAATATCCTGTTCCCAGGTGGTACTAAAAACTATACTCCAAAAACATTTTGCTCGTATATATATTGAGAGCAAAAGATCTAAAGGTTATACAATAAACTTTCTTTTCCCAGCCATCTTCTCTAATATTTACAATGGAGTGTGCTGTGTTTTTCATTATTGATGGGGTGTACCTGGCTGCGAGGATCAAGGTTCAGAAGCCTCCAGGACTTGTACATGAGATCAGAGAAGTGGTAGAGCACTCGGAGACGGGTGTTTAGGACTTCAGGACTGCAGTCTTTAAGGGCGTTATACTGTGGAGGCACAGACTGGGGCAAACCCAGCTGAATCCCTGAACAACCTGCAAAACACAGAATCAGTGATGTTGCTGTTTATTCACACTGGACGTGTTTTGACATGTGTGTATTGTTCACCTAAATACTCTTTGTGATTATCCTGGATGCTGCAACTGACTTGTATCAAAAAAGTGCATCAGATAATGTGAGTTTGGAGTTATTAGTGTTTTTAGTATACGTTTTTTTTTTCTTTATACAAAGATATTACACAACAAATACATTAACCGAGTGGTTCTCAAACATTGATACACCAGGTAGCACCTCAGAAAACATTTGTCTCTCCAAGTACCAGCATTAAAATGCAGTAACATTGCAAGCCTAATTATTCAGCTCTGTTAATAAAAGCGGCAGTTTTATTACTAATAAGAATATTTATTGTTGTCGAACACTTCTTTAAACACTGTAAATACAGTTTGCACAATAACACTGCACTGAGCATACAGGTAAATAAAAAATGGAAATCATTCAATTAAAATGTGCTGTACTTTTAAAGGCTAAATCAAAACAGTACTGATCTCAGTTTTCAAAAAAAATAATAATTTAGAATTTTGGTTGGGTTGATTTAGTAAGGGTGTGAATCATGAATAAAAGATAAAAAATAAATAATTGCAAGCAGGAATAATTACGATAGAGCAAAGAGTAATAATAAACATAAAACATAAAAATAAACAGTGCTTTATGGTTTTTCAGGGAGTCAAACAGTATTCAGATACAGAAATGTAAAATAACACTGTATAGTCTTCATTGTTTTATTAATTTAGTGAAATTATTCCTTATTAAAGTTACAAATGTTTTACTTTATTGTGCATGAATGCTTTACACTTACTTAAAATGCCTTCCAAGCACACATAAATTATAAAGTTTTTTTATGCAAGAAACATCTCATGGATGCATTTGGGACACATCATCAGTGATGTATCCTGGGATCATTGAGTGTTTCGGGTCTCTCAACATCATACACTCTCACCCAGGTGACCCAGCCGGGGTTGATCAAGTCCCGACTTGTGTCCCAACAGCAGTCCACGGATCTGCCCTCTTAATCCACAGCCACCTTGTGGCCTTCTCTGCGGTTTCTCTAAAGTTTCACTCTGTTATGAAAGTAAGTGTCTGTTAAACGGAGTAAAATAGAGTGCACGTTTTACTTACTTAATCGGTCTGTATCTAATGTAAATAACTGATTATGGCCTTCTCCATAGACGCCACTGAGCATTTTTCATACATGTTATGTTAAATGTCTGAAACCTAAAAATAAATGTTATTAGTTGAACTTTCTAATCACACCGGTGTGATTGTATGCTGCATTGATTGGTGGGACCCACTCCGATGTGCTAAAAGTGTTTTCAACAAGTATTTTATTTAACTTTTTTATTCAGTGATTCTTCTGTGTACCAGTAAGGAAGCTCGCTTTCTTCTTTACAATTTAAATGTCATCCAATCAAGTTTGAAATACACCAATTGATTGGCCAGAAATTGGAACCACATTGTTTTTGTGCTCCAAACATGCTCCTATCTTTTTTCATTTTTTTATTTAGGCCTCTCTGTACTGGCTTTAGTCGAATATATTCAAAACTGAGAATGATTTATGATTGAACTGAACCAAACTAATCTTCATAGAAATCATAAACAGGGTGTATAAAGTGTACCTGAAGCTCTGGTGGACAGAGCCGGTGTGGTCCAGGCTGATGAATGGCAGCGACCAGCAGAAATCTGCCTAATGTTCTTGCCCTGCAAAGTTGTGACCAGAATGGGCTCTTTGACTGGATTGGAGTGGCCCAGACCCAGCTGTAATACACAAAAGTAGACAAAAGATCAAACTACACATTCCTCCAAATCCACAGATATCCAAAGAAAACACAAAAACAGCTGACTGTACCCAAACATGTCGTAATTAATAAATGTCATCTTATTGTTGAGAGGGGAGAATTGTGAGGACCAGGATTGAGAAACACTGTGCTATGCAAATATCCTACAGTCTGTGTGTGTGCGCCATTTTCTGTTTTAGGCCATTATGTTTTGATTCTTTTAGCCATTTACTGAATGCAATAAATAACTTTAAAATTCAAATGTGCATACTTAAAAAAGATCCAGTTCATCAAATTATTCCTAACAATTCTTTAAATACTGAAGTACACAAAAAAGATGATAAATGGACCCTAATTGCAATCATTTCTAAGTAAATCAATCATCAGACAGCCATACCTGGGCCTCGCAGTTGCAGCCCCAGGCATACACGTCTCCAGTGTTGGACAAAGCCAGGATGTGTTCACAGCCCACAGCGATGTCCTCAATGAACACTCCCTCCAGAGCCGGAATGATTTGTGGCCGGTTGTGATTCTTCAGCATGGCATCGGGTAGACCAATGAGGCGCTCTGGGAAAACACAAACACTATGAGCTGTCAGAACATCACCAAAGTGCACAGTGAAAGTCAGCTTTTGTGACCAAAACAAAACATGTTTCATGTGAACTTGGACTGCTGTGCGATAAATCGAAATTAATTTGCAAACAATGAAGCAAAGCTGGGAGTAACTCAATGATCAGTAGACAGCGAAATGTGATCAGTAGGTTCACATGGAATCTGTATGCGCATAAATCTGCATATTTTTAGCCCATCATTGAGTCTATTTATTTACTTGTGTAACTGTGTGTACATTAATTCCAGTAATATTGACTAATATGAAAATGTTCATATGATTATTTACAATACAGTTTGTGAAGTAATTTTTGTGAGGAGTTTGCATGTTCTCCCTGCCTTCGCATGGGTTTCCTCCGGGTGCTCCGGTTTCCCCCACAGTCCAAAGACATGCTGCAGGTGAATTGGGTAGGCTAAATTGTCCATAGTGTATGAGGGTGACAGGCCCTGACGACAGGCCAGGCAGAATGTGTAAAAATGTAGTTATCATATGGACAAGTCTAAAATGGCTTGTTCCAAAGAGTCGACCCCGCAACCATATGGGACTAAGGCCAAAGAAGAAGAAGAAGAAGAAGACAGTTTGTAAAGTAATATTTCTGTCTTTAAGTAGATATGTTATATGAGAGACTTGCTTTGTTTACCAAAAAAGTGGATCTAATTGAATTTGCATTGTAAATATTAAATAAAAGTTAAAAAGTTGTTGTTTTATATTTCATATATTAAGTTTTTACTTATGATACTCCCACTATCAGTCCACATCAATCCACAGATTTTTTTTTGCTAAATTCTCTGCAGAAATAGTGCAAGTCTGTGGATTCTGTCTGGCCCTAGTGATCAGTAGTAAATCTCAGTAACTGCAAATACCCACAAAGTAGAAACCGAGGAACTCCCCATAGCGTTTCTAAATAAACAGGATATTTAACTTTTTTTATTGATTCAGCAAGACTAATAACTAGGGCCAGGCGGAATCTGCGGACATCTTTTTGCTATTTTTTGTTAAAAATCTGCGGATTTATGCAGAATGATTTTGGGAATATCGTCACAAAGACCTTAATATATGAGCTAAAAAGAAATACCTTTTCAACTTGTATTTAATGTTTACAATGCAAATCCAATTAGATCCACTTTATATGGTAAACAAATCAAATCTTCCATATAATATAACTACTAAAAGACAGAAAATATTACTTTACAAACTGTATTGTAAATAAATCATATAAATATTTTCATATTAGTCAATAATAATACTGAAATTAATTTAAAAACTGAATAAATAGAAATTTACACACATTTACACAAATAAATAAACAGAATCAATGATGGGCTGAGCAAGCGCAGATTCTGTGTGGGCCTACGAATAACCAAACGACTACAGAAACATCTCACAGAAGGACTTCTTTCAAACACGTAACTGTATTTCTGAAATTTTATTTTACCAATAAAATATACATAAATATTGTTTTTCGATGAATCGCAGAAAACAGAAAATCCACAGAAAACACAAAAAATAACTAAATGGTTTTTATATATATATATATATATATATATATATATATATATATATATATATATATATATATATATATATATATATATATATATTTTTGTTTTTTTTTTTTTTTTTTTTTTTTGTTTGTGTGAGTGTGTGTATATATATATATATGTATATATATATATATATATATATATATATATATATATATATATATATATATATATATATATATATATATATATATATATATATATATATATATATATATATATATATATATATAATTTAATACAAAAATCCTTTGTATAAGGGGTTTAAACACAGTTGTGTGGCAACAGTGTGTGAATAAAAGCAGTTTCTAATGCTAAAAAATTAATGAATTTATTTATTTTTTATAATCATTTGATAAAACAGTCTGCAGAAATACTTTGATTGACATTCTCCCTTTGTGTGTGTCAGCAGAGGGGGAAAGCCCCACCCATTAGTTATGATCTATCCCTAATTTGCATAAACAGCCCTGAGTGAGAAGCAGCCCTCCTCCAGTAGAGTTTTCATCTGCTAAATGTATAGTAAGCGACTGAGAGGATTATAAATGTGGAGTTTTAGGACGTGGCAACACGTGGCTGAGTGCTTAGCACTGTCGCCCCACAGCAAGAAGGTCTGTGGTTCGAGTCCTGGCTGGGCCAGTTGGCATTTGTGTGTGGAGTTTGCATGTTCGCTCCATGTTGGTGTGGGTTTCCTCCTGGTGCTCCGGTTTCCCCTACAGTCCAAACACGCTCTAGGTGAATTGGTCGTAGTGTATGAGTGTGAATGAGTGTGTATGGATGTTTCCCAGCACTGGGTTGCAGCTGGAA